ATCGGCTTGTGCCCGCTGTTGGGGAGAGGGAAATGGGCCGTGTGTGTGCCTGGCCTGAACCAGTCCCTCCTCTCTTCTGTACTGAAAATAAGGTTTATGTATGAATCTTGGCCTGCTCACAGTCTTCGCAAAAACGAAACAAAATACTTTCAGAACCTTCCCCTCTTTAAATTCAAGCAACCAGAGCCAACCTCAGTCAGTCGTTCTCATTCCTTTTACTGCACTGTCAGCTTTGCTAACTGTCTGTGGTATTTCAAAGATTTTATGACATACGAGACATCGCCTCTTTTTCCTCACTTAATCATGCCCTTACCTAAACCAAACTTTATTCATCTTTATCTCTTTAGAAACTTGTAATTACACTGTAATTCTGAGTAGTGACTCTTCTTGTTCCTTATGCTGGCCTTCAGATTCTCTCTACTACAAGAGAGGAAATCTTTGAGACCGCCAAAGAGAAGAGCAAGAAAACTAATAGAAAATTCACGAGGTGGTGTTGTTTCCATCAAAGTGATTTGAGAGAATGAATTTCATTCTGATCCTTGTTAAGTGAATAAATAAAATCCACAGATCTGTAAGTCATGTTCCAAAATTCAGCAAGCCAGGATCACAACCTCTGGACATTCTCAGAAATAACTTTCCTTCTCTTCCTTTCACCCTGGGGAGTTGTCCTGAGAGGAGGTTTATCCTCCTAAGTCACTTAGCAAGGAGAAGGAAATTCAATGGGAAATCCCTATATTTAGCAGAGGTTAAGGTTGTTGATGCTTATGTTCAGTTCCCTGGTTGGCTTAAAGTCTTTCCAATTTTCAGCAGATAGGCATAGGTGAATGCAGCTAGAGCTTGAGTAGGAGGGGAATAGGAAGGGATAGAGGAACAGGGGAGAATCCAGAGCCCTTCATAGCATCCTTTCACCCTCTGCCTCCTGCTGCTGGTAAATCTGCACCTGAACAGCCAGTGCTTTAAAAAAAAAAAAAAAAAAACAAAAAAAAAAAAACAACCAAAAAAACCAAAACAAAACCCCAAAAGCCTCTCCTGTTTGGCTTTTTACTTTTAACACCTCAGGTGTTGAGCAAATGAAGGCAGACCCCTGTGCCAGGGCTCTGTCTCTTTAACTTTGCATGTACACCAGCAGGCACAGTAGGAACCCATTCTGTTTTGAACATACGACAGCATAAATGGCTGATAAATCAGAAAGGAAGGAATCCACCTTTTCTATTACTTGTGTGGCCTCCTGGAATGATTAATATATGTTTAATGAGTTCTACGTATATGCTTTATTTAAATGAAATGTTTCTTTTTTAACAAGACCACTTAAGTATGGAAGTAGGGCAGCTGGTCTTAAGGTTAAATTTACTATAGTGTCTTAAAATAACACAATAAAAATACGACGCGACACATTTTTTGATGCCAAAGGTTTAGAGAAAGTCAAACCAGTGAAGGGGTGGAAGTCACTGGCAGAGCAGTTGGAACTATAACCTACAGAATGCTGAACCTGCTTCTGGTCGTGTGTTCTTTTTCCCTCTTTTAATGCACTCATCTATTTTATGACTGGTTTGTATGTTCAAAATCGAAGGATCCACTGGGAGATGAAAAAGCAGGCAATTTCATTTTTTTTTCTCATCGGGTCCATGAGTGAATGCTGTCAGGGGATGAGATGTGCTCATTCTAAAGTTTTGAAGGTCGTGCTGACCAGAAACAATCACTGAAGTTCACCAACTAGCAACGATTAGTCCTTGTTGAATAAATCAGTTTTCAGTGCAGTATGTTCTGGTAATTTTTTTTCTTACATATTTTCTATGTCTACGGTTATTTAATTTAACTGATAAAAAATGAAGTGCTCTTTTGCTACATTTTAATTGAATTCCATTTCCCATCTACTCACACTTTACAAAGTATAATTGGAAGACTGAATCATGTGGTAAAGAAAATCCATTAAATTTTCTATCATAAAATGTAAAAATTAAGCATCAGAGGTGAGTTATATAGATGATTAAATAAAAACTGTGCAGGCATGAAATAACAGTCTGGATAGCGGAAAGAACGGCATTTTGTAAAGAGGGTATATTTAGTTGAATAAGGGCCTTTAAAACGAAAAGAAAAGAAACGAAAACAAAACAAATGTCAACCCAGACCGAAATAGACTGTGTAAGACAAGGTCCTTCTCTTTTCTGTTTTCAAAGGTAGCTAGAATTGACGGGCTAACTCGGAGACACAAGCCAACCCACCCAGTCTGCCGGTAACATGCGCCTGTAGTTCTGGGTCCTAAACAAACACAATGCGGGCCTCGCAAGGGCTTTAGAAAGCCCCGGTTAATAATCAGTTGTCCAGGAGTCCCCTCTGACCTGCGCGGGCCCTCCTCCGGCTCGGAACAAAACCCCGGCAGCTGGTGCCCCTGTGAGCCGTCCCGGCGCCCCTCGCCGCTGCCCCTGCCTCCCCCGGCTTTTTTCCCTGCGTGGGGCCAGAGAATCCCGCGGCGGCAACGGGGCGTTCGGCGCAAATGAAAGAGCGCTGGGCAGCTGAGAGTCACTGAGACTTGCCTCCGAAGAAGGTAGAAGGAGACGACCTAGGGTTAGATGACCCTGACTATCAAGGGTGTTGCCTTGACGAATAGTAATTGCTCGACAATTGCTCTAGGCTTGGGAAACATATGTTATCGTGTTCATGCTGTATCCACTGATAGAGATTGTTTTCGTTACACGTACGGGATATTTCTGACTCCGCTGAACCTACTGATGTGTGAAAACACAGATGAGTTCAAGCTAGAGGTCTCAGACTTGAAAGTCGGACGCTTGAAAGTCTCCCCTTTGTTCAAGTTATTCCTTTTGGCTAGCGGATGTCTGTCTTTAACTCAAGAATCAGTCTATGTCCAGCATCTACAGTGATCTTTGAAATGCTTTTTTTTTTTTTTTTTTTTGAATGGTGTCTTTGTTAGAGCGGGAGAAGTTTCAATGAAAGAATATCTCAGTTTTGTGCTTGGTGAATGCTATTGTATTAATTATCTCCTTGTATAGGTTTCAACATTAAGGCTGTTGGACACATTAAAGAGCAGTCCACACTCACAGCTCAGTACTTAAGGCGTATGCAGAAGTTCAGCATTGATTACATGGTTTATACACTGTAAGAACTTAAATTTTTTTGTCTGTCCTGTAGCAGAACTTCCTTTTGAACTACTGTCTACAGTTACTGTTTCCTTCCCTTTTGGCAAAAGTTTTAGTATATAATATAAACATGAGCCTCTTTCAGCTGAAAAAGATTTTATTTTCTTTGAAATAAAGTTTTCCTTTTTCTGGAAAGCTGCTGAGCGTCTCCCTGAAATAATCTTATCTTTCTGTGCTTTTCCTTACACTTTAACGTGTGCCTGCTTAAGTACTGAGGAACTTCTCAGTGCAAGAAAGGCTGTGGAGAGACATAAAAAGATCATAGAAAATTCTTCTTGGGGGTATAGATTGCTAAAATAAGAGAAAAGGGAAAGGAGGCGACATGCAATGTATAGCACTCACATGGGCTCAGGTGGTTAGAGAGGTGTGTGCTTGTTGTATTAAAGAAAAGGCGTCAGGAGTCTGTCAGGGCTCAGTCCATGGTCACTCAGGACCTCGGGGCCGTAGAGAGGTAGAACCCTTGTGACACGATTTGCAAGAGGCTGTGTGGGCTTTGATTCATTTATCTACCCAGCATCAGAAAGTAAATAGGATACTGCTTTCTTATTTGACGAAAATGAAGAAGTCATCCAGCTCAGCATCTTCCATTGAACTTCTTTTCTTATCCTTCCCTCCATTCCTGTGTGCCTCTTACGTATTTCCAGCAGGCCCTCCCTCCAGAATGATGAATCTTTCGCCTGAGAAAAGGACAGTTTTCCTACTGCTTGGAAGTTTGTTGTCATACGACGCAACCTGTCATTATTTTAATTCTTGCTTTCAAATTAAACGCCTGCCAGCCTGTATATTGAAATGGTGTATTAGTAACAACTACAATAATAATACCTAGATCTAATACACAGCTTTTCATCTGTAGATCGCAACCTTTTTTTTTTTTTTGAGCCTGGAGTGAGATCTTGTTCTGTTTAAAACTCACAGAGCTCCGACAGGAGTGGCTGGGGCAAGGTTAAACAGCGTTTATGCCTTCTCACTGCTGGGTCGCTTGACAGGTGATGCCGTAATGGTGCAGCTCTTCTAGCCCCTGAGTGCCACTGACTCACCGCCCAGCATCTATGCAGCGCTTCGTGCAGACTCTCCCACAGCACCCAAAACACCCCCTATTCCACCAGGAGGAGGTTTACAGCTCCCTTCCCCAATTCCTGCGGAAGGATGCCTCCCTGGGTGAGACAGGAGGCTTTTAGTGCCCTTTCCCAGTCAGGTCTGGGTGTCTAATGGGAAAAACCGGCGTGAAAGACCGGTGAGGATTTCGGTCAGTGTCATTTTCGGTTCTTTGATGTGGAGATGTGATATAGCACGAGAACTCCTTTAAGCGAGATCTTCCCAGATGAATTAGCTTTTTGACATTGAGTAGGCACTGCTGACTAGGCCTCTGGAATTATGCCTTTTCTATTTTGAAAAGACGAACGCACAGGTAAACAAAATGTTGCTAAAGACTTATTTCAGACCTTAGGTTATTTTAGACTTTTTATACTCTTAGCATACGTAGCACTGGGACATCCTGCAAGCCTTATTTTGTCTCCTCGATTCAGTGAGTGGCAGGACAGTTTTAATCGTCCCTATCTTAGAGTTGAAAAGCCGTTCGTGAAACTCCCACGCTGGGGACAGGATTATGGCCCTCGTTTGAAATCCCATCCCGAACCTCGGCCAAAACACCATCCACCTTCCCCCTTGCTGCAGATTTAACTCGATTTGTCTGTAGGAACAGTAACTAGCAATCTGCGCTCAGATGGTGGGATGAAAGAGAGAGCAATTATATTCTTCGGCGTGTTAATCAATCCAGTTTATTTAAGTGTGTTCAGGACATCGTGCTAAGTCGCTTAATTGCTTTTTTTTTTCATTTATTTGCAGGTCTACTTCACCTGCAGTGCTGAGCTGTTATGATAGTTTGTTTTTTATGACTTGCGTCAAGCGTGAAGCTTTCAGAACCACGTGTCAAAGGTAAGTTCGTTCAATATTCTTATTTGTATACGTCCCTAAAGATATCACGTGCTTACAGGGGAAGTTTTCCCCGCTTAACTGAAGGCTCAGCTCTGTTGATAAGTCACCGTCCTGGGTAAAGGATGTTGGGAAGCAGTACGCGCTCCTGCGGGGAGCTCCGAGAGGGATTTTCTCCCAGTTCTCTTCAATATACTGGCCAAGCGTGCGTACTGCACCAGCGTTTAAAATAGTGCAACCCGATCCTTTCTTTACAGCTCCGAGGGTGGGGGTGGGTGAAAGAATAGTAGCCCAGATCCTCCTTCCCATTTTGGGTCTGGTTTTCTCTCTTGAGTGGGGAGAGCATTAGCTGTGCGTGACCATGGTGGGCAAGGAGCCTTTGCTCTCACCCTTCACAGTTCTCGTGACATAGGCCAGGTTTAATCTAGTCCGCGTTAGGAGAAACTAACTACGCTTGCAGGGTTATAATGAGCTTCCTCCTCATTTTCATTTTCCCTTGCCGGCATGTAAATCGTTGCTTGTAAGGGATAAAAATCTGTAGGAGTTACGAAAGTGATTGCACTAATGCGGAGCTCCTTCTAGTTAGTCTGCAGTGTTTATTGCACTGTTTAGTGTTGTAAAACTAAAATGAAACGAGCTCCAAATCAAAAGAGACTACCTCATATTTCTCTAACCAACTAATAAAAGTAAAATTGATGAACGAAAGTAGAATACTAACCAGGTCTTTACAAACAAGAAGAGACAACGTGCAAGTCAGGAGATCGGTTTGTCGGAGTTCCACTTGTGGGTAGGGACCTAAAAGTTATCCAGATATAGTAGTTCACAGATTTCACTTGGAAAGACTACCAAAATTAATATTTAGTCAGTAGTTGTGACAGCCAATCGGTACACTGTCATACAGTGGAATCTTTGTGAAATTTATTCTTTTATAAGAAAGGTTGTTCATGCACATAACCACGTTCAGCCAGAAACAAGGATACTGAGAGTCCTGAAAAAGTGCAGAGGTTCTGATATTGCGTTGCCAGCTAGTGTTGCCTACTTTGGGGTATATTTATTTTTTACTTCTTTGTGCGGTCTGAAGGGCGTAGTTCTCATCTGATGAACTACTACTGATTTCCTCGTTTCCATTCATCTTTTAGGGAAGATTTACTTGTAGCTGTAATCCATGCTGAGAGCACTTTTTTTAGTCTGTGCTAGGTGTCTCTTGTGTACACCTTATGAATACATTTTAAAGTAACGCCCTGATTAGCTAGTGTCATCTGTATGTATGTAGTATTCAGAATGTTAACTGTACATGTAGAAAATAGCAATGAAAATTCCTACGGTACTTAAAAAAAATCTGAAAAAAAAAATAATTACTTTTTATGAAGCAGTAACGGCAAACCTAAAAACTGTTCTATTAGACATCCATCCCTATAGCTAGAGGATAAGACCCAGAATCCAGAAGTAGGTTGAAGGGAAGGAACTGGGGAAAACAATACTTCTCATTTCCAGATACTAGAACTGAAACCTGCATAAAGATTTCTCCAGGAATGCTATCAGTCTTCAGTTAGAAGGGTCATGCCATCACTGGCTAGCTGCTGGAAGGAAGAGAGAGTTTTCTTTCCTTTCCCACTTTCCATAAAACACCAGTTACTATAAAAGGATAGCTGGAGCTGTGCTGCTTTCTTCCTGTGCCTCAGGCTCCATTTTTTAAAACTTTTTTTTTTTTTTTTTTTTCCTCCCCCTGTATCTTATCCGTTGTGAATAGCTACTGCGCCTTCCTGCTGTTAATAGTTTTGTCATATGGCTGCAACAATATAAAACGGACATTTCGGATAACCTAAGAGCTGGGTGCAGGCTTCTAAAAAGCAGCAACCGGACTTGCAGTCTTGTTAGTTATGCATGGCTGCTGTTTGTTAAAGTGCTACTGTGCAAAAGCTGAAACACTGGAACTGCCTGCTTGCAGAACCGGGAAGACTGTGCTGTCTGTATCAGTCAAATTTCCAAACGTAAGTTAGTAACACCCCTTACGACTGAAAAGACACAAAATGCGTCTAGAGTTTTAAACGAAAGCTGTAGAAATTCATAGCAGAGGCCTTTATGGTCACCACAGAAAACTGCTTGTTATCGTTAGGACTTACGAGGCTGCATTTTTTAGAAGAGCTGGGGGGGTGAAATACTGAATTACGTTGAAAGAATTAAAAAGTATCCGACACCGAGTGGTACAGTCAGAATGGTCACAGATGCCGTGCTACAGCGGAAGCCGACGGATAATCTTTTTCAAGTGTGAAAAGGAAAAGGAATGATCATTCAGATAATCATATGCTCAACTACTCGTTTATATCATTCAGGTAGTCAAAAGAAAAGCAGACTTAGATAAATTAATAATAAACAAGCCTTATTGTTATAAAACAACAAAAAAATTATCTTGACCTTGGAGACCTAAATTAAGTAAAAGCTACATCCTGTATATATTAAAATCCAGGTTTCAACCTCCCAGTGAGTTAATACAGTTTTACTGGCCTTTGTCCTCTAGTACCCCAACTCTAGTCTCCAATGCTTTTTGATAATTAAACCAGAAGGGGGTATTAATGTGAGGAGATATGTATGTGTCTGTGAATATATATATATATAGAGAGAGATATATATAGAGAGAGATAGATATAGATGTACCTCCTTCCTTAATGGATTAATTGAAGACAGATACGTAATACAGAGAAAGTATGCTGCTATTTTATTTGCTGAACACCAATACTTTACATGTGGGCTACTGAACTGACATTTGTTTATCACCTCTGGCATGATCTGCAGAACGAGTAAGACCAATCCCAAGGCCGGAATTGGAGGGCGAAGTGGTTTTGAGGTACACAGAAACTTAGCTCACGGCGCTGGGAGTTGGCTCCGGCTTCTGTGCCCCAGTCTATAAGCCACGTCCCTGCCCCAGCTGCTTTTCCAACCCACCTAATACCTCCACCCACCTTTTGTTTTCAGAAAACGGACCGTGTTGGGGTTTGCTTTCTACTGTTGCCACTTTGATTTGTTTCTGCCACAAGCCCCCCCTCGAGCTCCGAGCGCAGCAGAACTCGGGAGCCCTCCCGGAGCCAGTTACAGCTCTCGGTCACCGGCCGACCCCTTGCTCGTAGAAGTTAGCATGCTTAAGTTGACATTGATCCCTCAAGGGACTAGCCACCAGCTAAACAAAACTGGAGCACAGGGCTAGCCAAGCATAGATTCTCCGTGACCCTGTGTCAGGACCTGTGATCCTGTTGTAAAAGCCAGCTATGTTACCTCCTTGCCCTCTGAGACTCCCAGGGAATCCCCAAGTAAATGAAGGGGGGAGTTATTTACATCTCCTCCACGTCTCTGTCCCAATCTTCCTTTTGTTGGTTTGTTGGTTTTTTGTTTTGGTTTTTTTTTTTTTAAAAAAAAAAAAAAAAAGAAGAGATGGTGGAATGCTTTAAAAAGGTGCATTTGTTCCCTTACGAAGGCTTGCTGCAACAAAGCAAGAATAATTTGCCCCATTAATTATAGATAATGGAAAATGTGTAAGTATCTACGTGGTTAAAGAAGCGAGCATACCGTCGCTGACGGTATCACAACTGTTGTATGCAGCCTGGAAAGGCAGATGCGTTTGAATTTTACTGGTAGGTTGGAATATTTAGAAGCCAGGAGACCTGTAAAGCCTAACTCTTAAATAAAGCGAGGGTAGAAACGCTCATTGGCTTGTGCAGAGGAAATAGAGCAAAGATACAGCACAGCAGAGAAAGCTAGCAGGACAAAGGAGATACTATTGACTCATTCCAGACTGCCGACTTAGCAGCTCAACTCTGTTTCCTTTTAACTTTTGTAACAGTAGGAGCTCAAAGCTTCTCAGTCTATTTTCTGCACAAATAGAAACACCCAGACTTCAAAAAGTAACACACTTTGAAGAAACCCAAACCATTAACACATTAAAAACTGTGTGTACTACTAAACAGGGGTTCACGGTTACTTGAATTTTGCAGTGAGTAAATGCTGATGTTTCAGTAATAATTTTACACTGCCGCAATTCTGGCCAACGCTTCTCGGCAAGTATCAGTTTGTAAAACACTTTCTGTTGTTTTTAGCGTGGTACGGATTTATTGCCTTTGCAGCGGGTAAGTACTGCTTCAGTATTTTCACGGACTGAGTAAAAAACCCCCCAACACACGCACTTTTTTTTTTTTTTTTTCTTCCCCCCCCACTAGCATATTGCAACAAGTTTCTGACGCCGTTATAACACTCGTAACAGCGGGGAAAGCATGCGACGCGTGAAATTTAGATGTCGTCCTCGGCGCTTAAATCCATTTCCCATTTAAAAAAAAAAAAAAAAAAAAAAAAAATTAATTAACTTTTTATTGTCCACTCCGGACAATTAAAGTGTTGGAGGCCATCGCTATGACAGCTTCTACGCTGACGCGTTCCCTGTGCCAAACCCTCTCGGGAGCGGGTGTCCCGGGAGGAGACCGGCCCCTCGCGTCCCGTGGGGTGCGTGGGGGGGGGGGGGGGAAGAAGGGGGGGAAAGCAAAACGTGAGACAGCGGTTTAACTTCCCGGAGATCCCGCGCTTACAGACACACCTCGCCCCTCTCCCGCGAAAGCCCCTCCTCGAGCCCGCAGCGCGCGCGTGAAACGTCACGAAACGTCATAAAGGCAAACGAAGCGGCGTGACGTAAACCGCCGGAGCGCGACCGGGGGCTTTTGAAGTATTCCGGTTGGGGTTCGGCTGCCCTCCCCACCGCGAAACCCCTCCCGTCCCCGCGCGGCGTGGAGCTGGGAGGATGAGGAGTAAGGGGAGGGGAGGAAGGGGGGGGGAAGGAGGCGGGCCGTCGGCGCGGCGGGCTGTCACTCAGGTGACGTCACAATACGCCTGTGTGAGCGCTGTAAACACTTGGGCGGGTGTGTGTTGTGTGTGTGTGAGTGACGCGGGGGCGCGCCATGGGGGGGGGGGGGAGGAGGGGGGGGGGGGAGGCGCGCCCCCGCTTGTTTCCCTGCGCGCATGGTAGCGGCACGAAAGGTAGCATCACTGGAGCGGGGGGATGATGTAATTCTCCCTCCGGCCAGTAACTGCCTGCGCTTGCACCGATCCGACTGGCAAAATGGGGGGGGGGGGTGTGTTGGAGATGGGGGGGGGTTTGGAGATGGGGGGGGGGTTTGGAGATGGAGGGGGGGGGGTTTGGAGATGGGGCGGGGGGGGGTTTGGAGATGGAGGGGGGGGGGGAGGAGTGTTTTACCCGTGATCGTATCAGCATCTCCTGACCGCGCACCCCCTCCCTTTCCCTTTAAACCCCGCTCCGTTCATCACACCCTCCCCCCCCCCCCCCTCACTACTCTGCGCGGAGGAGGGAAAGGGGGGGGGGGGGTTTGGGGGGTGGGGGGGTGGGGGGGGAGCCCCGCGTCGTGTGTTGTAGGGTAAACACGCCGGTGAGCGCCGCGCCGAGCGGTAAACAAGTCTAAGGTGCCCTCCGCCGCACGGCAACTTGCTGCGGGGGGGGGGGGGGGGTGTGGGTGGTTCCCCCCCCCCCCCCCCGTGTGTGTGTGTGTGGGGTGTGTGTGTGTCCCCCACTCACACACCCCACACCCCCCCCCCCCCGCACACACTATCCCCCCTAACAAAAGCCCGTTTAATAACCAGCGTCAGCTTTTGTTTCGGCGGCCAGCGGCAACCGTCCCTTCTCCCGATCACCTTATTTCACCGCTTCTCCCCTTCACCCCTCCCAAAACCGCGGGTTCCCCCCCCCCCCCCCCCCACGCCTCGTCCATCCCCGAGCGCTCCGTGGCGTTGCTCCCCCACCCCCACCCCCCCCCGCAACTGCACTAAGCGCCTCCAAAACAACACCCCCCCCCCCCGTCCCCGTCCCCGGAGCGCTCTGGGGCAGCAGGCAGGTAGAGGCGAGCAGGCAGCACCCCCACCCCACCCCCCCCAAAAAAAAGGGCAATAGCTAAATGGCACTTACTGTCACCAAAGGAGGGGGGGGGAGAAGCCCTTCTCTCGGTGCAAAAGCAAAATAGCCACTCGCAGGACGTTGCCAGCATAGGAGACAGCGAGGAAAAAAAAAAAAAAAAAAAATCTTCCAGTAGCGGGGGGGGGGGGGGGGGGAGGCGGGGAGGAGGGAGGGAGGATTCGCCTTTTAACCGGAGAAAAATAAAATCAAAAAATAACCGTGTGTGTCCCGTCCCCCCCCACCCCCGTCCCCCGTCCCCCCCCCCTCCCCCCCCCCCCCGGTTGCCTTTTTTGTGCAGTTTCAGCAAAGCTGCGAGGAAGTTGGTCCTTTTGTTCCACTATTTATAGATTGCGTCAACATTGCGAAAAGGAGAAGGCGGAGCGGTGGCACTTACTCCTCGCCGAAGGGGTGGTGGTGGAAGATATCGGGGTGGAGGGGCGGGGCGGGGGGGGGGGGGGGTGGAGTGTTTTACGACGGGGTGGGGGGGTGGGGGGGGGGGATGGGGGAGGAACGACACGACACACACATCCGAACCCGGCGCGTTAGAAGCGACCTCAGCGCTCTCCCCCACCCGTGGCCGCTCCGAAACACGAGGGGGGGGGGGAGGTTGGGGGGGGGGGGGTGGGAAGAACCGCGCCGCTTCCCCGCTCGGCTGCCGCCGCACAGCACCGCCCCGCCGGGCGCGCCGAACCGAGCGGCGGGGCCCCCCCCACACCCACCCGTGTCCCACGCAAAACCCCCCCACAACCCCCCCACTCCCCGGGGGGGGGGGGGGGGGCGTCGCCTCGGCTGTACCCTCCCGCTTCCATCTCCCCCCCCCCCCCCCCCCCCGGGAGAAACCTGTTGCGACCCCTCGGTTGGGAGCTCCGAGGGCAGGTGCACCCAGCGTTCCGGTTTTCTTTCCGAGGTGACCGAAGGGTTAATTCGGGGAACCGAGGGGAAAACATTTTAAGATCCAAAACGGGGGGTGTGGGGGGGGTGTCGCGAAAGTTAGAAGTCTCCTCCGCCACCCGAGAAGGAATGGGGAGGGGGGGGAGCACACACACCGGCGCGTTTTTGGCCGAAGACCAATGTTTCTAAACTGAATGTAAACAAAGAAAACTGCAAACACTAGAGGAGGGCCTTCCACCGCCGCCAAGGCTGGGGGGCGAGTTCCCAAACGGGTGCCGAGCTTTACCCACCCCCACCCCCCCCCCCCCCCCCCTTTTCCCTCCCCGTCCCGAGCGTCCACGGTCACCCCGGCCACCGCCCTCGCGTGCCGTGGGACGAGACGGGACGAGCTTCCCGCCGGCGGGGACGGCGCAGGGTAGCGAGCCTCAAGAAAAAAAAAAAAAATAAAAAAAAAAGCAAAAAAAAAAAAAGCGTCTTTTTTTTTTTTTTTCCAACTTTTTTTTTTTTTTTTTTTTGGGTTTTTTTTTTTTTTTTTTTGGAGAGCTCGGGCTCGCCCCTCCCGTGCCCCGGGCGGGCGGAGGCCGGGACCGGGCTTGTCCCAGCCCGCCGGGCGCTCCCGGCTCTGGCCTCGGGGCTCCGCGGAGCCGCTGCTGTTAACGTGCTCGGGGAAAAAACATCCACGGCGCTCCTGCTCCGTGGGCATAAACCTTCGATGTTTTGGAGGGGGAAATCCTCGCTTGCTAGCACCAAGGCCCGGCGGGGTGTCACGGCGGGGATTAGAGAGGAGCTGGAGGGAAGGAGGAAGGCTGGAGGCATGCGTGGCCGTGACACCGGCTCTGCCCTAAAATCACCCGTGACGGACGCGCGGGCGGTGCGTGCGCCCAGCAGAAATACCGCCGTCGGACCGGGCGAGGTTTGGTTTTGGTTTTATGTTTTTTTTTTTTTGTTTGTTTGTTTGGTTTTTTGTTTTTTTGTTTTGTTTTTTTCCCCCGCTCCTTGCTTTCGTGAAATCTATGGGCGGATGATTTCCCCTTTTATTTATGCTTCGTGACAACGGATGCTTTCCCCCGTGATGATTTTCTGGGGGCCAGTGCGAGTCCCTCGGAAATCTCCCGCCCCAAGCCCACGCACGGTCCCCGTGGAGAGCGGGGAGCGTGGGTAGTGGTTGAGGGAAGCTTCGGGTGAATAAAATAAAATCCGTTCGTGTGGTTCCTTTTCTTGAAGCGTCCCCCTGATCCCGGGCTTTCCCCCTCCTCTCTAACTTTGTCCTTCGCAGCGAGGTCTCCGTCCCACTTCGCTGCTCTTGCGACAGAACACGACGCTTGCTCATCCTCCGTGAGCTCTCCGTGGGGACTGCGGCGACTCTTTTCCTGCTCTGCGTTGGTTAAAAAAAAAAAAAAAAAAAAAAAAAAAAAAAGAAGAAAAAAGAAAATAACGAAAATTACCTAGCTCGAAGACGGACAGTGTTCGGTGTCACCCAAAAGACGGATCGTCTTTTGCGTACAAAACCCGTGGCAAAAAGTGAACTCTTTTAATAGCGCTTTAACTGATGGTGTAAAAATTGTCTGGTGGTGGAAAGTAGTAAATAGCGGTAATAAAGGATAGATCCAAACTATGAACCGTGAATAAGCCTTCCTGGAAAGAGCTGAACTGAGTAGAGAGTAGGTAGGCAATTCGCCTGCTGCTTCTCTGAAAATTTAGAAGTACATGGGAGTGTGGCGCGCTGGCACTTTTTTTTTTTTTTTTTTTTTTTTTTTTTTTTTTTTAAAGAAGACTAAAGATAAAAAAAACCAAAAAACAGCAGGAGTGTTGTGATGGAAATGGGCGAGGGGAGATAAAAGCGGGGGGGTGAGAGGCGGGAGCTGCGGCGGCTCCGGGCCGCGCTCCCGCCAAGCCCCGGCGCTGGGCAAGGCGCGCAGCAGCCCTTTGGAAGTCTCTAAAGAAAAGCTGAATTGTTCGAACTTAGGTAACTTAAGGAAACTCGTTATGACCTACATTGCTTTTTCTGAGTCAGCAAGCCGGCAGCTGCAGCCCCAGCCCCGCCGGGGCCGGCCGCGCTCCCGCCGCCACCGCGCACCCCCACGGGCGGAGCCGACCCCCCCCCCCCCCCGCTTCCCCACGCCACCCCCCCGTTCCCCCCCACGCTTTTGCTTCCCGGGTTGACAAATAAACTCGCCTGGATGCCTGGATGGAGACGGTTTCACTTCTGCCGTCAGGAATGCCTCGCTCCGCGTTGTGGGTTTTTTTTTTTTTTTTTTTTTGTTTTTTTTTTTTAGGGGGGAGTTGTCTGAGTTTTAGTTTTTTTTTTTGTTTATTTGTGTTTTTTTTTTTTTTTTTTTTAGTTTGGTTGTTTGGTTGGTTTTTTTACAGGTTTGCGGACAGAGCAGCGTGCCGGCTTCAGTGGTGGTTTACCGGCTGGTTTGTGAGGGGGAAAGATAATTTAAGCGGAGGACAAGTTGGGTGTTTTTTAAAATTTATTTATTTATTTAAGTTTTTAAGATCTGTACTTTATTTTCCGAAGGGATACCGATTGTTTCCTGCACCGGGCAATAGAAGCCTTATAGGGAAAAGTTACTCCGTGCTGCACACTGCTTTGCTCTTAAAATGGACAAGGAAACTCTGAAGTTCCTATCAAAAGCTTACCAAACAGTTTTCCATATTCCTTCTGTAATGTAATATAAAAGTAGCAACGGTTAACCTCCAAATGTCTACATTCTCAAGACTCATAGTTTAATCCAGTTTGCAGCGAGCTCGGACAGTTACACCGACCTTTTATTAACCGCACGGTCAGCATCAGGGAAAGAATCCAAAATGTTTTAACATCCAGATTAAAGTGATCTGTGAGCGAAATTACCGCATCACCCCAGGCGGGCGAGGGGGTGGGAAAATCAGCCACTCCGGCTTTCTTTTATATTCAAAATGACGAAAGAGTCGAGCTGAAATGACCTCAAAAAACTCCGCCTTTTGGAAAGAACCGCTTGCTGCCTCTCCCTTGCCCCCCGCCGCTTCCCCTCAATTCTCACTTCGTATTTAAGCCACACGCCGTTGGCATGAGCAGCCAAACCGAAACGACAAAACCCAGCTCCAAAAACCTGGATTTTCCGGTATACCGCTACACCGGGGTTTGCACACCGCGCCGAGCGCTGCTTTTAGTATTATTCGCATTATTAGTGATATCTTTTTGCAAACTTTTACGATTTGATTGGCCGAGTTACGGCAACTCACCGCATTTCAAAATGGGACGGAGAAATCAAATCCAATTTCCATTTTTTTTTTTTTTTTTTTTTTTTTTCCCCAAAGCAATTTCCACAGCAGCGGTGGGGAGTTGATTTTGATGCTCTTTACTCACAACTTTTAGCATCTGTGCGTTTCCTGCAATAGCGATATTTCAGGCTCCCTCCTTCAGAAACCAGCGAAATTTGGAGATAGCGATCGAAAGCAGCTCCCCGTGCCCCGAAGCGGGGGGGGGGGGACACACACACAGGAAAACCCCGGCTCCGATTTTGGGTGGGCGGGGGGGGTCGGCGAAGGGTTGTTTATCGGTGGGGAGGTGGCACCTCTCCCCGTTTCCCTACCAGGTGGGTTTGCAGCTGGACACGGGGGGGGGGGGGGAGGGGGTCGTCCCCGCTGCCAACCGTGGGGTTGAGCCACAGTCACGCAGCCACCTCCGGCTCTGCCACCCATCACTAAATAAAGTCAACGCCTTCGTCTACCTGGTTTTTTTTTGGTTTTTTTTTTTTTTTTGTTTTTTCCAAAGAACACCCAAAATTTCCCCCCGTGGTGTCACGGAAAGAGAGCGATGGTAACCGCCACTTCAGATCTCTCCTTACTCACAAGCGCCAAATGTCAAAGGCGAAGGAGAAGGCATTTGTGCTTGGGGAGGGGGGGGAAATAAAATAAAATAAAAATAAAATCAAAAAATCATATATAACTGGGGAGGAGAGGAGTGTGAGGGAATGAGAAGGGGTTTGGCTGCGCCGGAGCTGACACGGTGCGTCTCCACTTCCAGCGAAGCGGGAGCGACTCCGGCCCCCCGCGCCCGTCCGTGGCGGTTTGCGTGGGAGCGTCGCGGCTTCCCGGGGCCGCGGCCCCCCGGGCTCTGCCCCCCGCGACCTGCCGAGCTTCCCCCGCCCAAACGCCTCCAGGAGGGTTTGGGCAGCCCCGCGGGGGGGTGGGGGGGGGGCGAGGGCGGGCGGCGGAGTCCCCCCCGCTCCCCCCAAATCGCTCTCCGTGAGGTCGAAGCCCACAGAACGGGCTCGAAAAGCGAAATTTGGGGAAACCTGTGGGGGGAGTGGACGTGATCTGCGCGTCAAAGCGAAGCTGAAGGATCAGCAGCCGCCGTTAACACCAGTCACTTCTACCGAGGTTTTGGGGCTTTTTTTTTTTTTTTTTTTTTTCGGTCTAGAAACTTTTTTGGGGGGAGTGTCTAGAGCTGCGTAATTTCGTGATTATTTTTTCAGCCACCGTTGTCTATATCCAGCGTGTGGCGACCAGGTTGTTAAAGACTGGCTGATTTTTTGCTCGTAACAACTGGATCTCTGCAAGATTTAATTAACCCCCTGCGCCTCATCACGTTCCTTTTACCGAACAAATTAGCTATCCGGGCAGCCTGCGGCCAGCTCGCTACTGCTCTGTATTGCAGGACTGAAAAGGTACGATGCAATGTCTGCAAAATGGTTGTAGCCTTTCAGGATGTTATCCAGGTTAAATCAAAGTCCCGGGACGGTAAGACCAAAAAGCTGGTAGCTGTCCAAGAACAAAATCGTTATTTTTAATTGAGTCGAGTTGGTATTTTCTTTTTTTTTTTTTTTTTGTTTTTTTTCTTCCCCTTTTCTCTCCTAGCGTAGCTGGAAAGTGTCTTTGTTCTGGGTAAATTAGTGGAGGCTTTAAAACGTGCTGGTCACGATTGACTGGCGGGAGGCTATATACAGCAAATAATGACAACCCTTAGCGAAAGAAATACAGTAACTTGGGTTTGGATAGCGGTGTCCCAGCGGCGACTTGTCTTTTCCTGTTTGCATTTTTTCTTTTTTTTTCTTTTTTTTTTTTTTTCTTTTTCCTTTCTTCTCTCTCCTTTTTTTTTTTGTTTTTTTTTTTTTGTTTGTTTTTCTCTCTCTCTTTTTTGTTTGTTTGTTTGTTTTGTTTTTTAAAAAACCCTTTATTTCAGAGCTGTGGCCAGGAGCAGGGGGTGTCATTTCAGAAATGTCCCCGGTGGCCCCGGAGCCGTCCCTGGCCAGAGAGGGGCTGCCGGGCACCCGAGGAGCTCGCTTCTCTCCAGCCCCAAATATTAAGTTTCTCTCCCTTTTTCGTTCCCCAGCACAAATATTTGACTGATAAGAACTAAATCTCTGTGTGACGGTTCGCTTTCGCACCAGGCTCAACATCCAGCCAATCCCCTCGATGTCAGGTTTCTCAGCACTCCGTTTTCCGACACTTTTTTCCTCGGAGATGTCCCCAAACCCCTTTTTTATATGTCCCCCCCAGTCCCTCTCCCGCCCCAGTGGCACTGGAGCTACCGGTTTTGTCTCTTGTCAAACTTCGCGTAGATTTGGGTGTAAATTCAGGTAGTTTGAGCGCTACAAGCGGCCAGGTTACCTTCCTATTTGGCATAATTGAATTAAGCGGTTTTAAACCTCGTCGTTAAAAGTACCATCTGCAGATACTCAGCACCTTGGGTGTCTGGTGGTACTTTTATTTTTCCCGGCACATAAGGAGTTATTTAACGTACAGAAATAAGCGACGAATCGCCTCCTTTTAGCAGAAGGTCAAGCGGTGCAATTAAGCCGAAAAGTTCCGAGAGTCGGGAAAAGCTGGAACATCCCTGTAAAAAAAAAAAAAAAAAAAAAAAAAAAGTAGCAACAACCGTTCGCTTTTCAAACGTAACCGCCTTTTGGACTGGAGGTAGCTGCTGTTTCTCGGTTATTTACTCGCGTGGGGATGACAGCGAGCTCCCGAGGGGCCCGATTCTGCTCCCAGGGCAGATACGGTGGGAGGGTGGCGGGGCCGGGCGCCGGAGCGGGGTCCTGGCGCTGGAGCCGTGTCTACACGCAGCTCTCGGTCAGGCGAAGCGGGGTGGGGAGAACCGCTGGCAGCCCGCTCCAGATCTGCTTCCCAGGCTGGTTTTGGCTTCCGGGAAAATGAGTAGTTACTGTAAAATGCTCGAATAGCTCGGATGGAAACTTGCCGGCGTCTTGGAAATACGTCAAGGCGGAACCGACAATGAGACCACCTCGAAAAGTAACTTCTGACCCCCTGAAAAGCAAGAAAAACTTTCAAGACCCGGTACTTAATGAGAGTCATTTCCATCCCGCTCCGCTGAAACCAAAGCGTGTGCGTTTGGGGGAATTTCAGACTTTCTTTTTCCGTCACCCGTGGGGAGCCCTCCCGCACCCACCGCCTGCCCCGGGGGGGGCACGGTGCCGCCGAGGCGCCGTCCCCACTGCCCGCGGGTTTCCCCGCGGGGCCGTGGGCTCTCCCTGCGGCCGAAATTCGTTTTGCCCCGTGCCCCCTCGGCCGCCCTGGGCGGGACAGAGGGACCGGGGGCCGCCACGGCTGCCACCTGCGCCGCGCTCCCCACCCGGGACGAGCGGTTCTGCAGGGCTGCAACTCCGGTCAAGTCATTAGTGCTTCTTAGGTTGGTTTTTTTTGTTGGTGGTGGTGTTTTTTTGTTTTGTTTTGTTGTTTTTTTTTTTTGTTTTTTTTTTTTTTTTATATATATATATATATTTTTTTTTAATTGTTTCTCTGCACCAGCCTCTTATCTTTTTCTCGCAGACACTCGAGCCAGTGAAACCAATGGGCGTGCAAGCAGTTGCGGCAGCCCGGAGATCTCGCTTTTCTCCCCCTCTCCTCTAAAAGCCGCAGTTAAAATGCTGGCGGTGTGGTGATTTGTCTCCAGCTGCTGCTGCTGGTTAGTATTTACCGCCAGACAGTCGTTTATCTCCCGGGTTCAGCTTTGGTTTTTTTTTTTTATTTTTTATTTTTTTTTATTTTGCCTTTTTTTTTTTTTTTTTTTTTTTTTTGCTACTGAGAGGAAAATGCAAAAGAAATTTGTGTTCGGCCATTTTCTGCAAACTTGACACCCCGAGTTGCGGATTTGTTCGGACTTTCCTGGGTAAGCTCGAAGCGTTGCTGGCGTCTCCCTGCCCACGGTAACTCTGTAAACACCACGGCTGGGCTGCAAAGCAACGCGTGGGTCCCGTCGGCAGAGCCCCACCCCCCCCCCCCGGCTCCTTTTCCCACCCGTGTCTCTGTGGCAGTGGCCGTGAGCTGTCCCGGGGCACGATTAACCCTTCCTGCGGCCCTGGGTCTGGCACCGAGGGGTGCACTGGCTGGGTCCCTCCGTTTCGTGCCGCCTGGCCGGTACACGCCCCAAGGCGACCCGGGAGACGCGTGGGAGGCAGGTGGGTGCCCACGGAGGAGCTGCGACAGTGCTGGTACTATGCTGGGAAAACCTGGGACAGCGCTGGGGACAATCTGTGCCTGTGCCCGGGCAGTGCTGGGACAGTCTGGGACCGTCCTGGAACAGTTGGGATAGTGCTGGGATGGCGCCGGGACACATTTGGGAGAGTTCTGGGATATTCTGGGATGGTGGTGGCACCCTCCCGGGACGGTGCTGGAATAATGCTGGGACAATCTGGGACTGTCCTGGGGCAGCGAGGGTGGCGGTGGGATGGTACTGGGATAACTGGGGTAATGATGGGAAGGGGGGGGGGGGGGGACGGGCAGCACCAGGAGGAGGGAGCAGCCGGGCAGGGCCGGGCCCGGGGGAGCTGCCTTCGGCTTCGGTTTCCCCCGTTCCTAGCGGGGAGCGCACCGGGGACACCCCCGGCCCCGGTCCCCCTCGCCCCCGCGGGCGGCCGGTGCGGAAGGGCCGGGCGGGGAAGGGGGAAGGGCTCCCCCAGCCCCCCCCGGGGCTCCCGGCAGCCAGCCGCCAACCTCCCTCCCCGCTCTCCGGGAACACGGGGCTGCTGCCATCAAGGAGGGGCCACATCCCGTAATCTCCTCCACGTAAAAATCAATATTTCGGCCGCCCCCCCCCCCAAATCTATCATCACCGCCTCCAGCTTCTCCACAGTCGCACCCAACACACCTTACGGTTTCCTCCCTCGGTTGTTTTGGTTTTGTTGTTGCTCGGTTGGTGGGTTGGTTGTTTTTTTTTTTTACCCCCTCCTGGAGGCACCGGTGTGTCCCCCCCACTCCCCCCCCCCACCCCCAAATAACGAGGGTTCCCCTTCCCGCTCCTTGGCGACCCGAAATGCTCCCGCTGACAGACCTCGTTCTGCCCCGTCCTTCGTGGTGGCAGAATCGGGCCCGTTAGCTGGAAACTAAAGGGGAAAAGGTGGAAATAAAAAGGTGCCGTAAACTTCTTTTTAAAAATATTTTTCAAAAGTAGAGCTATGTTTGCATCTCAGCCGTGGCCTTTTGGAGCTCCCAAACAAGCTGAAAGCTGCTGGCGTACCTTGCGCATCTATGTGTGTGGGACAACGGCTCCAGAAGAATAATTTAGACTTATTATATAGAGTTATGTAGAGTTATATCAAAGATACCAATACTCAGCTATTGAAATTGCAAATTACTTGCACTCTGAAGTGCCAGTGGCTCCAAAAAGATATTTTCTTCATTACTTTTCCTTAGAGATATAAAACGCAGTTCTTGGCCATGTGCATTTAGTGGACCAAATTCATTAAAGATGTGAGTTTTGTACAATCCCACAGGACAACTTTTAATTGCTGGTGAAATTGTATTTGACTTGGCAAAGTAATAGCGGGGATTTGACTCATCAAGATGTAAATTAAGAATAAATAGCGAAAAAAATGTTCCTCTGGATACATATGGATGTATATTTCCTTATTTTAATAGATTGATTAATATTACTTCGGAGTAATAAATTAATAAGTGCTCCAGAGGGAATTTGGGAAGAGTAACCAAAATGATTAGTGTACTAAAGGGCTAATCTGTGGAGAAACTTTGTTCAATATTTGTAATGTACATCTGCATAGCTAGAACTGGAAGTAGTTTGGGTAGTGAAATATCAGGTTTGCGATGTGCAAATGTGACAGCGCCGCTCCTGCTGAGCTGCTCACTCGCGGCAGCTTAAGGGCAGTCCTAGGTTCCAGCCCAGAATTCAAACTGGTTTTCAGTTGTTGCTTCAAGGTATGCAAACTCTAGAGAGAAAGGAGATTTCAGAAGCTTCACATGCCTGGTCTGTTGTGTCACCTAACTCTACGTGTCTTCATACGCAACTATGGATTTCTCACTCTTCTGAGAGTCCGGATTTTCTCACGTGTTTCACAGCAAATTGAAGCGCTTGATATGGAACTGTGTCTCCTGCCTTAGAGGCTAAGGCCCTGAAGTTTGGATATGGTAGCATCTAGTTTATAGTTACTATACAAGTTATGTCTCTCTTTCCTTACATTGCAGTCATTCTTCGCCATAAAGAAACAAAGAGCGTTGGGGAAAACAGCTGAAGGAGAAGAATGTGTCCTCAGGATTAGCATTTCTTCACTTTAATAGGTATTTTTTATTTATTTATTTTTTTTTTTATCAGCTGCTACACCCTGTTCTTGTTTGTATGTTGTCTACTTGGCTTATAAGCTTACCTGGGTAAGATAATTTTGAGGCAAGTCCAGAAACCATCTAACTCATTATAGCAATTCTGTATATCAACTTACAGTGATTATGGAGAGTTGTAGCACGCTTATAAAATGCGATAGTCATGTCATAGCCATGATGGACTAAGGATTGTAAGCAAGGCTGATAAAAAATATAAAATGTTACGAGAAAAGGAAGTCTTGTTACTAAAAGGGTGTCAGTGTAAAATGATATTCAGAAAGTATTTGCTCGTCATAGTTACCTTATTTCAGTAAATGCAGCTTGGCTTTTAGTACAGCTTAAGTGAGCGATTCAACTACGTGTGACTCTACAAAAGCTGTAACTAAGTTAACACAATTAACACATCTTCGTATAGACCCCACATACAACACAGAACCATTTCTAGTACACATCGGCTATCTCTGATACAGATTTCAGGAAACAGACCAGCAACACCTAATTCACTGCCCAGAAGCATGTTTAGTTCAGAAACTTTGGCAAAGTTTTCTACCTGAGATTCGCATCCATCTGAGAAAATCTTCAATTATTTGGTGCGTGGGTAGCTTATATGGGACCATAGGCCCCGGTCCCCAAATGCCACCTGGGATCCTTGGGCATCTGACTCCTGTTTAAATATTTCTTATTGGGTAGTAGGAGGTAAATATTTGAGTATTTTGAGCCTCATTTGTTTCTTAGGAATTATAGCTAAGATCTCTCGTTGCACCTGTAAATGTAAATTTACTAGAAAATAACCCCGGACAAGAATATCCTGCTTCTAATGAAGAGATTTCAGCTGTTGTGGTCTCGTGTCCTGCACTGCACTGTTACAGAACTGAGCTGTTTTGTAATTGGCAGGAGGTGAGAGTATTGTAGGAGTAAATCCCTTGGCTCCTGAGAACAGGAGAGAAGCATCAGTCTGTTGAACAGGCATTTAGAGCCTCCAAGGTTAATCTCATACAGCTTCATTTGGAAGGAAAAAAGAAGAAATCTCAGAAACAGTGGAAGGAAGCACGGGAGGGTGAAAGTGAAAAGAAGTTGGATGGGAAGGCACAGCAAGAACGAGAAGACATGTGTCTGAGATATCCAGGCTCATATATAAATCGATATATAACTGGGCCACTTACATAATGCTCTCAAAACTCATATTGTAAATAATATGACAATAGAAAGAATCACAGCTGAGGGATATTCTCACTAGTAGAGGTGGGTGAAGTTTTGTGCTTCTCTTCAATAGAATCTAGTCTCAGCTGCACTGGAACCATTTCCTAACGCAGTGTCACTCAGAAGGGCTTATCTGAGAGCAGTTATTAGACCTTTATAATAATTCTAGCTCAACATCTCAGGAAAATCAGCTGCTTGCCCACCTCATGCCAAGTACGAGTGAAGAAGTGGGCCTTGTGCGGTCTCCCAAAGCTCAGCAGGTTGGGGGGTTGATCAAGGGATTCCTATCAGGCAGGAAAGAATCCGCCCAGGGGCCTCCCCGTAACGACAGATGCCTTCCCAGAAGCTCTCATGGAGGAATTATACTTCGTAGTGCTCTGCCTGAACGTGGCTCAGCGTGCAGAAGGCAATTACGTGGTAATAGTTTAAAATCTGTAGGTTCCAGGTACCACATGTGTATGCATGCTAATTGTATCGGCTGATCAAACAAATGCGATGAGGCTAATTATCAGAATTAAGTTGTTTAACAGTAGCTCTGAACCTTCTCCTGCCAGGCTTGCTGCCCTCAAAGAGCTTTCTAGAAGACATCTGTGCAGTTGCCACCTTACTACAGAAGTCATCTGCTGGGAAAGTTTGTGATTGTTTCTACTCCTTCCTTTCGGAGCCCTAGATCTCCGAGGGAGGGAAATAAGCATGTCACCTGAAAACCCGCTAAAGTTGGTGCTTGATGTTTTAACTTCCCTTTGCAAGGCAGCTGCTGCATTTGCACGTGTGGGAATCTGGTGAGCCACGCAATCTTAGGCTGAGGGTTTCTGTTCACTAGGGATTAGCTGAACTGGTTTCCTAAATCAGTCACCAGATCTGGATTCCAAGTTGACAAAGCGGTGCCGAGCAGTAATGTAGACTCTAGGTAGCAGCTTTGCAAATTTGTTCAATGCAAGCATTATAAAAGCAGGCTGTCTAACTGCCTTAGCTTTAGTGCAGTGAACTCTGAGAACTAGCGGGCTTACTGAATTTATAACAAGTAAAAAGCTCAGGTTCATTCAGCTCTAAGGATGCTGAATGAGAAATGCTGGTCTTTGCACGATTACTCTAAACACGACTACTCACAACCAAACGTTGAGAAGATGCAGAATGACTGTCTCCTAAAAAACAGTTAGAAGGGACCTCAGAGATCACTGAACCTCTCTCTGTGCCCTATGACTGTCTATCCCTCTGTCTTTTCCATTTCTCTGGACTGTTCCTAAAGACCTCCAGGGGATGGAAATTTCACACACCCCTCATGCAAACCATGCCAGTGGTTAACATCCTTCGTGTTGGAAGTCTTTTCTTGGTGTGTTTTCTGTACTCATCTGTAGACTAAACCCTGCCAATCCTTTTGCTTTTTCTTTGTAGGTGTCATTTTTTTGTGTTTGTTTTTTTTGACCTCTGACAATTCTTATCTCTCTTTTCTGAACTCTGTCCAAACCAGACTCAGCATTCCAGTTCAGAGCTGGCTGTTGCTGAGGGAGCAGTCCACTCAAGACTCCTTAAGGCTCTCTTACTCATATCCCACTATGGAGTTTGTTTTCTTTTTTGTTTGTTTGTTTGTATGTTTTTGTTTTGTTTTATTTTTTCTATTGCAGCAGCACAGTTGATTATATCCTGGCTGTGCTCCTCTAGCTCCTTTCTATGGGGCTGCTGTCTGACCAATTCTTGCCCAGCCTGTATTTGTGCTGTGTGAAAGTACAGGACTTTGAATATGTACTTACAGATTTGCCACCTATTTTTAAGACGATTTCTCCAATTTTTCAAGATAATCTGAATTTCAGTCCTATCTTCCAGTGTGCTGGCAGCCCCTATTAGCATTGGATTATTTGCAGTAATGAATAAGCATATTTTACCTTCCCTCATTTAGGTTGTTAAGGGAAATATTGAGAAGCCCCAAATTTAGCACAGATTCATGGGGAATCCTACTCTATAAATTCTTCCATTTCAATAACTAACCATTGATAAATCCTTCTAGTGAATGACTTTCCAGCAAGTTTGTACTCCTCCTATACTAGTTTCCTCTAAACTGTGTTTCTCTGTCTTAGGTAGAAAAATAATACGTGTCAATGTCAAAACCAGTCAAGATATGACACCTCCTGCTTCTCCCATCTGTTATCCTGCTGCAGAAGGAAACTAGAGAAGTATGTCACCCCCTAGTCTTATCCAGAAAAGATTATATACACTTAATTCAAGCCTTTATGAGGCCTGAAGGAACAGTTCCCAATCTGTGGCCTCGAGTGAAGGCACTGCCTGTCGGGGGGGGCTCCGCGCTGACTGAAATCAAACTGGAGAAGTGGGGGGGGTCACAAGCTGAAGTACATCTGTCAGGGTTAATGTGGTGTCACGGTGTGGTCAGTGGGGCTGCTGGAGCAATCTGATGCGAGACACTGCCCTAGAACCTTTTCCATCCATCTTTTCTACAGATGAGTACGGTGTCTTGAGACACTGGTGGTTGAGCCAAGTGACGTTCAGAGGCTGTTTGTGTCAAAAGGAAAACGGTTGGATCTCTGGAACACGCCAAAAGAAAAATAAACCATTAAAATATGACTTTTGTTCAGACATTTAATGACAATGCACAGGAGATGTCCTGCAGAGGTATAAGGGAAATACAGCATGCAGCCAGAGATCTGAAACCTACAGTCATTAACTTGATCATCCTTAGTTGGGCATGCCGAGATGAAATAAATATTAGGGAAAACTTGATACACACCAGTAGATTTTATCTTTAAAGGTGTACAGAATGCACCATGTCACATACCACTTATTTGTAATCAGAAGAGAGAAGTAGGTACTTTTTGTATATAATTCATCCAGTCTGTTTTAGGGAGGAGTTACACCCATAAACACCCATTTGTGTAGAGCATGATCTGCCGGGTCAGATGCAGACATCGGTGTTTTATACGCCTAATGTAGAGTTATGCATTTTTGGCTTTTTGTGTCAGGTGCATGACAATTCACTTCTGATCTCTTAATTCTTACAGAAAGGGCGGCAGTATCGCCACAATGGGAATGCCCTGCTAATTTGAAATTCGGGAAAGCTTGTTATCAGAAGGGCACTATTTAAATATACAACATCTAAATGCCTCCAGTTATAACTCTAAATATAAGCATAAGCTTCTAATCTGCTGGGTATATCACTTCTCTCATAACTGCCGTAATTCCTCTTGTAGCCTGGTTAAGAACTGCAGGTTTAGATGGAGCCTCGCCTAGCCCTGAAAAAAATCTTAAGAAAGCGGAAGGCTTTATGGCTTGCATTAGGGGGTACCTATTAAGAAACTGTCACAGAGCACAAAAAACTCTTATCTGTGAGACATGGAAGTTAATCTCAATAGATTTCTAATGCAGATTTACTAAATAGTATTAAAGACCTGTGCAGATACTTATTCAGAGTGTAAATCCCGTATCGTATAGTTCACTTCACTAGGTTGATCCGGATTAATTTCCTCAAATCTCCTTGTCTAGACAAATCTGGAGCATGTCTTTGACCTGATAACAGAGCTAAACTGTCTGTGCTGCAGTATCTGTGGATCTGGATGGCAAGTGTCACTGATGGAGTTCCAGACGACCGTGCCTGTCCCACAGCCACTGGCTCTGGCTTCTACCTTGCTACTTGAGGCGTTATAGAAGCCAAAAATGGCACGGGAATTTTATTGTAATCTTGATAGATCTGATGACCTTGTCAATTTATAAGGTGACAAATATTAAAGTCTGGTAGCATGTGTGACTACTCT